TCTCATGACCACCTTCAGCTCCTTTGGCAGAGTTCTTGTGGTGGTAGTTAGCATAGTCCCAGCGGGAGTTGCCACGGGGGGATGCCTGGGCCAGACTGCTTCGAGCCCTGCTCTAAGTGCTTGTAAGCTACGCCCTGTGGCGACCCCACAGCACCCGTTTCAAGTGCCTGGGAGAAGGTCACCTTGCAGATGGTGGCAAGGTTTGGAGGGGCTTTAAGCCTGGAACTGGGAGCCCCCAGGAATGAGCTCTCTAGCTCCCGGTACTGGTGGTCCGGAGTGCACCGTGAGGCCCTCGACAGCACCAACCAAAGGCACCTCTTCATGGCGCCCTTTCAATTGCCGGTGCCAAGGAGGGGGAGGATGCACAGGGACAGCCCCCTCTCGCCATGGGCACAGAGTGCAGGGCCCCAGGACAGCCACTCTGGAGCCCTGCTGCCACCTCAGTGTCTTGATGCTCCTGCACTGGTGGGGCGTCCGTTGCGCTCGGCACGGGCAGCTAGCCTGGACTTGCTCACGCCCATTCCAAATCCCACCCGCCCCCCTTCGGTGGAAACTTCTGGCAAGACGGGTATAGAGGCGCCGATAGAGCAGTGCCACTCCGGGGCTCCCTGGCTGGCCCAGTGGGTACTGCGGAGGGAAAGCTTCCGACATTCGTGCACCTACGTGGAATGGGCGGGAGCAAGACATCGCGAGGAACAACGGTCCCGAGGGGTAACCGCTTGTTTGCTGGCTGGAAAGAGGCAAGTATAGAAAACTGTGCTGGTTTCACTAACATATTGGGCATGTACTGTTCCCCACAACACACGTAGGAGGAATGTAGACTGGGTCTTTTCCAGAACAGCTTCCCTGTTCACAGGGACTTGCAATCAACACAGGGTGAGTTGTGCCCCATCGAAGTACTTGCCACAGTAACTTGAGAAACTTTTCCCAGCTCCGCTGCCTGGGCTGAGAGCTCTGCAAGGTTCAGGCAGACCTGGAGAAGAGCTCTGCGTAAACTGAAGCTTATCTCACTCTGCAGCAGAAGCTGGTCTCCTCATCCAGCTTCTCTCTCTAACATCCTGGGCCAGCAGGGCTATGCCACAGCCACACCCAGCTCTGTAATCCCGTCACAAGGCCGTGCGGCGGCGCGTTCCCTCCCGCACAAAGCAGAGAATGTGCTGTCTGGCGGGCAGAGAGAGCCTCCGGACGGTGGAGTCTGTGAAGAGCACTTGGATATAGGCCAGCTCTGGTCAGGAGCAGCCTTTTTTGGGAACACGAATGGGATTTGGATGTTGGCCGTGGGGTGCTGCTGGTTGACCTGTTGGGGAAGGAAGGCCCTGGCTGCAGGCTGCCGCTAGGGAATGATGTGTCGGTTGTGCCTTCCCTGGCTGCCGCCCTGCAACACAGGTGTTGTGCGTTCGCCTGTGCGCTCCAGGCTGCACAGGGCAAGGGGCTGCTCAGGCAGGACGAGTCACTGCTGGTGTGTTTGGATACTGTCATGAGCAGCGCCAGAGGAGCCTCTCAGCTGACGCGTCCATCAGTCTCCCTGTGGAACTTGGTGTCTTGTGTCGAGCCGGCAAGTTGTCTGGGGCAGAAAACAAAAGGGCACTTGGGGAATGTGCTTTTTGAACCCTATATGCGCCCTCACTTACGCCATAAAGAGCAGTATACTCTGGTTTCCCAGGAAATGGGAGCCAGATAAACTAGCCTCCCCCTAATGGGCGCAGTGCTTCACTCCTACGCCAGAGCAAGTCCCCTCCGTATCCATCAGATCCATTGGTTTGAAAAGCTTCCTCTCCTTGCACATGGAGAAGACTCGCTTGCCATACCTTCCTCCTCCTCTTAAAGCTGCGCCATGCAGATGTACGCTAGCAACAAGGCTGTGTTGACACGGCCCTGTCGTGAACAGTCAGTGTGTGAACGCAGCCTGCACGGCACTTGTGTGGAGAGAATTCTTCAAGCCCCGCTGAGGGGGTTTCGCTTTGTTGGCGCTTTCACCTCCTGCCCCAAAACGTTGTTCATGGGTTTTTTAAGCATCCCTGAATGACACAAGGTTTGTTGATCAAGTGGAAATGTTCGACGTAGCCTCAGTCAGTCAGCTCTCTTGTCATTCGTGAGCTTCGCCAGCCTCCTTGCTAGATAATTCTGTGCTTAGGCACGTCGTCTCCTTGCCTGGTGCCTTCCTCGCAGGTCGCTGGGCTGAGAGAGTTCTGTGCCTCCGTGTTCTGGGCTGCATTTAGATGAAAGGCAGCTCGTTACTGATGTCACTTGTATTTGCTTTCCCCCATTTCTCCTGGCCATGAGATGTGGTTTGCCTGTCCCACCAGTGCAACAGCCGCTTACTAGAACAGAATCATAGAATCATAGAATAATAGGACTGGAAGGGACCTCGAGAGGTCACCAGAGAGTTCTGTGCCTCCGTGTTCTGGGCTGCATTTAGATGAAAGGCAGCTCGTTACTGATGTCACTTGTATTTGCTTTCCCCCATTTCTCCTGGCCATGAGATGTGGTTTGCCTGTCCCACCAGTGCAACAGCCGCTTACTAGAACAGAATCATAGAATCATAGAATAATAGGACTGGAAGGGACCTCGAGAGGTCACCGAGTCCAGCCCCCCGCCCTCAAGGCAGGACCAAGCTCCGTCTACACCATCCCTGACAGATGTCTATCTAACCTGTTCTTAAATATCTCCAGAGAGGGAGATTCCACCACCTCCCTTGGCAATTTATTCCAATATTTGACCACCCTGACAGTTAGGAATTTTTTCCTAATGTCCAATCTAAACCTCCCCTGCTGCACTTTAAGCCCATTACTCCTTGTCCTGTCCTCAGAAACCAAGAGGAACAAATTAGACTCCTAGCATGATATCACCCTCGTTTTTTACCCCTTTTAGCTTAACCCAGAGACTCTCTACACAGCTATCTCCTACGTTCATCTCCACTTCAGTCCAAGTGTGTACATTTTTAATATACAAGGCAACTCCTCCTCCCTTTTTTCCCTGTCTGTCCTTCCTGAGCAAGCCGTACCCTTCCATACCAATATTCCAATCATGCGTCCCATCCCACCAGGTTTCTGTAATACCAATGATATCATAGTTGTATTTATTGGTTAGCAATTCCAGTTCTTCCTGCTTATTACCCATACTTCTCGCATTTGTATATAGGCATCTAAGATACTGATTTGATCTTGCCTCCCTGTTGTGCCCTGACCCTCCTTTCTCCTTGCCATTATAGGCCGTAGTCCCCCCCATTTCCAACCCATCTCCCAGTCCCGCACATTCAGCACTTACCTGTGGGCTTTGCTCACCTGCCCCCGACAAACCTAGTTTAAAGCCCTCCTCACAAGGTTAGCCAGTCTGTGTCCAAACAAGGCCTTCCCGCTCCTGGAAAGGTGAACTCCATCTCCGCCAAGCAGTCCTTCCTGGAAGAGCACCCCGTGATCAAGGAAGCCGAATCCCTCCTGGCGACACCATCGTCGCAGCCAGGCATTCACCTCCAGGATGCACCTCTCTCTGCCCGGGCCCCTACCTTTGACAGGAAGGATAGAAGAGAATACCACCTGCGCTCCAAACTCCTTCACCCGTACTCCCAAAGCCCTGTAGTCACACTTGATCCGCTCAGTGCACCCTCGAGGCAACTCCCGTTGTTACTTCGTTCCCACCCTTCCGTCGGCAGCCCCGGCTGTGCTCTTCGCTACGCCAGCCTGCTCCCCATAGGAGCGACTTGGCAGGCAGTCTACTTCTGCGCATAGAAACGAGTGGGGGCAGAAGGGAAGCGCTCTTGGCCCCATGCATCTGTTAGCGGGCTGCCTGGTTTCACTTGGCTTCTGGATCAGTGGCCTGCAGCCATCTTGCAGGTGGGCCGTGGGCTTGGGTCTTGCGCCCCTGCAATGGGGAGCTGGCACTGGTGCTCTGGCCCCGTGCCCCTCCCTCCCAGGAGGTGGGAGTCCCAGCGCCAGCTTCCTGCTGTGGGAGGATGGAGTGGGCGAGGCTTGAAGGCTCCATCCAGCTTGTGGGGGAAAGAAGCGGCTCCGCGTGCTCCTGCTTCCCCTCCTCCCTGCTGGGGAACGGCTGCACAGGAAACTACTCACCCGGAGGCTTTCCCTGCTGCTTCCCACGGCCAGTGGGAGAAGGGGGGTGCCTGGGCGCATTGGGGGCAGAGCCCACCTCTCTCATAGCCAGACCCTGCACCCCCATGCTGCTCTTGCACCCTCCCTCCCAGCCAGAACCCCTCCCCCTCTGCCTCTCCTGCACCCTCCCTCTCGGCCAGGAGGCACCTTCATGGGTGTTGGGCTGGTGGCGCGCAAAGATCTGCAGTGGAGCAGGGTGGGCGGTGGGCCAAAAGTCTGCAAATCCCTGTTCTCCATCAACGAGCAGCAGCCAAGCAACTGTCCAGAGTTAGCTGTCAGAGCTTCTCTGAGAACTGGCTGCCAATGACAGGTGCACCCTCTCTCCCCACTGTACCTACCTTGTCTCCAGCAGCTTGGGCATTGCTGAAGTCTGCTCCAGAAATGTGTCCAGGTGCAGTGATGCATTTCCTCTTCTACTGATGGGGGGAGGGTCTCTATAATGGCTAGCCGATTGCTTTGCTCACCTTTTAAAAGGGGTCTCTCTCTCCTTTTTTTGGGTTGCAATCCAACTCCAGAAGGTAAGACCCACTGCTAATGTTCTAAAGCTACTGTTGTATGTAAGCTTAATTGAATTTGACTCACAGCTATGTAATTAAGCCTTAATTAAGAAACCAATCAGCTTGCTTCACGCCCAGGTCTATACGCAGAGTAGTAGCTGTATAATTAGCTGTAAAGCTTTCACTAGTTGAATCCAAGCTGTCTTTGCATGCTGTTTGCATTAGCATTAGAGTGCAATGCAAATTTGAAACCTAATTTGCTTGTGAAGTTTGTGGAAGATGTCAATTAGGTTAACAGCATGGGAGTGCTTAGTGTCTTACAAATTAACGTTAGAACTGTTTGTGGACCTGACGTGTGAGCAAAAGCTTGATTTGCATGGTAGTGGTTTTTGTGCACTTGTTTGTTTTGGTGATTTGGGAGGAGGGTTAAATTGTTTTGAGTGAAGTAAGTTTGATGCATGCTTTATAACGGATTATTTTTAATTCACAGCTTTTTCTGAACTGTAACAGTGTACATCTAGAGTTTGGAAGATAGTACAAACAGTGTCAATTCTTAAACTGCCTCTCTGCTCTG